ATGACTGGGATAAAGAAGCTGTAGTATATTTATACAGTGGAATACTACTCAGCCATTGAAAATAATAAAATAATGCCATTTGCAGCAACATGGATGGACCTGCAGAATGTCATTCTAAGCGAAGTAAGACAGAAAGAGAAAGAAAAATACCACATAATATCACATATTATATGTGGAATCTAAAAAAAAAGACGAATTTATTTACAAAACAGAAACAGACTCACAGACATAGAAAACAAACTTATGGTTACCAGGGAGTGAAGGGGGTGGGAAGGGATAAATTAGGAGTTCAGGATTTGCTGATACTAACTAGTATATATAAAATAGATTAACAATAAGTTTCTGCTGTATAGCACAGGGAACCATATTCAATATCTTGTAGTAACTTATGGTGAAGAAGAATATGAGAACAAATATGAGAATGTATGTATGTTCCTATGTGACTGAAGCATTGTGCTATACACCAGAAATTGACACAACATTGTAAACTGACTTACTTCAATAAAAATACATCTAAAAAAAAAAACTCTGAGATTAGATTGTGGTGATGGTTGAGCAACTCTGTGAATATAATTAAAAACTATTGAGTTACACAAAAGACTAGGAATAGATTTACCATATGACCCAGGAATCCCAAGCCTGGGCATATATCCAGAAGGAACCCTACTTCAGGATGACACCTGCACCCCAATGTTCATAGCAGCACTATTTACAATAGTCAAGACATGGAAACAGCCTAAATGTCCATTGACAGATGACTGGATAAAGAAGCTATGGTATATTTATACAATAGAATACTACTCAGCCATAAAAATGACAACATAATGCCACTTGCAGCAACACGGATGTCCCTGGAGAATGTCATTCTAAGTGAAGTAAGCCAGAAAGAGAAAGAAAAATACCATATAAGATCGCTCATATGTGGAATCTAAAAAAAAAAGAGAAGAAGAAGAAGAAGGCAAATGAACTTAAATATAAAACAAAAACAGACTCATAGACATAGAATATAAACTTGTGGTTGCCAGGGGAGAGGAGGATGGGAAGGGACAGACTGGGAGTTCGAAATTTGTAGATACTGACAGGTATATATAGAATAGATAAACAAGTTTATACTGTATAGCACAGGGAAAGATCTTGTGGTAGCTCACAGTGAAAAAGAATGCGACAATGAATGTAAGTATATTCATGTATAACTGAAAAATTGTGCTCTACACTGGAAATTGACACAACATTGGAAACTATAACTCAGTAAAATAAAATTTTAAAAACCTATTGAGTTATACACTTTAAATGGGTAAGCTGTATAACACGTAAATTATATCTCAATGAAGTTGGCTTTTTTTCAAGTATCAAAATGATTAAATTATGAGTAACACCCTCAGTGTCACTTACTCTTTAAGTGGTTGAATGACGACTTGAAATCCATCCTCTCCAACAGGGCTCATTGTCTGTGTATGGGGATAGTCCTCGGAATACAGGTGTGAGCTTAAGGTGAGAACTGGGGCTGGATTAAATAGGTTCAGGAGAGTACGTGAGAAACCAGAGACATCAAGCCCAAATAAGTGATTTCAGAAACGAAAAAGAAGTTACAAGCAACACCACAAAGGATCGTAAGAGACTCCTGTGCACAAATCACACACCAATCACATGAACAACCTAGAAAAAAGTGGACAAATTCCTAGAAAAGTACAATCTTCAAGGTTGAACTAAGAAGAAATAGAAAATATAAACAGACCAGCTTTCAGTAATTAAATTGAGTCAGTAATTTAAAAAAATTCCCAACAAACAAAAGTCCAGGACCAGACGGCTTCACAGGAAAATTCTACCAAACATTTAGAGAAGAGTTAACACCTATCCTTTTCAAAGAATTGCAAAAAATTGCAGAGGAATGACTGCTTCCAGACTCTTTCTACGATGCCAGCATCATGCTGATACCAAAACCAGAACAATGAAGAAAAGACATTCTCTGTAACAGGTGGTGCTGGGAAAACTGGATAGCCGCAGGTAAAGCAATGATTTAGAACATTCCCTCACATCATATAGAAAAATAAACTCAAAATGGTTTAAAGGCCTAAATGTAAGACTGGAAACCATAAAACTCCTAGAAGAGAACACGGGCAGAACACTCTTTGACATAAATTGTAGCAATATTTTTTTATCCGTCTCCTAAGGCAAAAGAAAGAAAAACAAAAATAAACAAATGGGACCTAATTAAACTCAAAACCTTTTGCACAGTAATAGAAACAATAGACAAAATGAAAAGACAGCCTTCAGAGTGGGAGAGAATATTTGCAAATGATGTGACTTGCTGACGAGGGCTTAATATTTAAAATATATAAACAGTTCATACGACTGAATATCAAAAAAAGAAAACAATCCAATCAAAGAATGGGCAGAAGAACTGCACAGACATTTGTATAGATGGCTAACAAGCACATGAAAAGATGCTCAACATCTCTATTAGAGAAATGCAAATCAAAACCACAGTGAGGTATCACCTGTCAGAATGGCTATCATCAAACAGTCTACAAATAACAATTGCTGGAGTGGGTGTGGAGAAAAGGGAACCTTCCTGCACTGTTGGTGGGCATATAAATTGCTGCAGCCACCATGGAGGTTCCTCAGAAAACTAAAAATAAAACTACCATATGATCCAGCAACTCCACTCCTTGGTATAGATATGGAAAAAATGAAAACACTAATTCAGAAAGATACATGCACCCCAATGTTCATAGCACCACTGTTTACAATAACCAGGACATAGAAGCAACTCAGGAGCCTATCAGCAGAAGATTGGATTAAGAAGATGTGGTGTATATACAGCCAATGGAATACTACTCAGCCATCAAAAAGAATGAAATTCTGCCATTTGTAGCAACATGGATGGACCTAGATATGATGCGTAGTGAAATAAGACAGAACGAGAAAGATAAATACTGTCTGATATCATGTAAATGTGGACTCTAAAAAGTGAAATAAATGAGTGCATGTGCAAAACAGAAACAGACTCGCAAGCATAGAAAACAAACTTGTGGTTACCAAATGGAAGAGGGAAGGGGGTAGGAGTAAATTAGGGGTCTGGGATTAACACTTACAAACTAGTATATATAAAATAGGTAAGCGATAAGAATATACTATATAGCACAGGGAATTACGGCCATTATCTTGTGATAATTTATAGTGGAGTATAATCTGCAAAATTACTGAAACACAATGCTGCACACCTGAAACTAATACACTATTATAAATCAACTATACTTCAATTAAATAATTAATTTTAAAAAGTGTTTTGAGCCTTTAAAAAAAGAACAATGGAAACATTTTGAGTTTAAAATATATTAAAGTATTTAATATATTAATATTTAATTTCTGCTTTATGACAGACTAAAGGAATGTTGTTATGTAAGAAACAGAACATATTTTTGCTTAAAAATAGCATTTTATTGAACTACTATAAGAAACCTTTAAAGAAGATAGTGTTACCATTCCGTTCTGAGATGAATTAACACCCAAGCATACGCATGCTGCACGCAGGGGAGCCAAGGTTAAACACACATTTTTATGATTCTAAGGTTTTTACTCTATACCCTGCCCTATGTCTTCCCTGGGCATAATGTCCATATTTCACAATTTAGAAGCTGACCCAGAAATGAGTTTCAGGTGGGGCAGAAAATTGTCAGAGATTCTGGTTAGAAAGCACAGGTACAGTCATAGGTGTCATGGGCACCATGCATCTGTCCTCACACCCGATGGCCAGAGGTGGAGGGAGACATTCGAATCTTCTCGTGAAAAAGGTCAGTGTGAAAGTCCCACGCTGACTGATGCTGGGCTTCACCAACCACATCCTGTGCGTCTCCCTGGCCGCTGGGCTCGGTCTCCACCCAGCTGCGCCACATCAGCCCAGCAGAGCCTCAGCCATGCCTCCTGCGTTCGCTGCCCTGCTCTTTCTTGGTGAGTTCTTACATGGGAGAGAAATGCAGTTCAGGGGTCATGTGCGGGTAGGGCAGCAGGTCTCATTATTCCTGTTTTCCAGGGCTGTTTCTGAGCCAGAGGATCGGCACGCAGAAGCGTGAGTCCTCCCTTCAAAGCCGCAGAGTCTGGGTCCAGACTAAGGGTCGCCCTGGAGCAACCGGGGGGGAGGGCAGGGGCTCTGGCTTGCTAGGAGGGCTGGATGCCAGCAGCTGGGCGGGCAGTGGGGTGGCCAGGGGCTTCATCAGGAACTCCAGCTTCTGATTCTCTTCCAGAGACTCTCTCGAAACCTGTCATCTGGGCCAAACCCAGTTTCATGGTTCCGAAGGGACAACCGGTGATCATCTGGTGTCAGGGAGCCCACGGGGCCATTGAATACCAGCTGTATTTTGAGGGAGGCTTTTCTGCCTTAGAGAGACCAAAGCCATCGAGAATGACGAACAAAGTCAAGTTCCCCATCCCGGCCATGACCTCACACACCGCGGGGATATACAGGTGCTCCTACCGAAGTGGGGAGCTCTGGTCAGAGCCCAGTGACCCCCTGGATCTGGTGGTAACAGGTAACTGTCCCACTCTGCTCCTCAGCCAGAATCCTGGAGAGAGTTCACTTGCCCACCCGCTTCAGTCTCTCCCAGGCCTCACTCAGATACTGGCCCTTGTCTTGGGGGTGACGTGAAGGGGTTGATTATTTCCTACAAGGGGTTATCTTTAGAGGTGTCTCCTCTATGTCCCAGGAGCAGACTTGTCTTGGGTTCTTCAGAAAAGAGAGTCTGAGATGGGTATCTGTGCACAAGGGGGATTACTGTGGCGTCTTCTCAAACACACCGCCTGGGGTGAGGGAGGGAAAGCGGCTGGGCCGAAGGCAGAGTTGGACTGTGATGCAGTTTCAGCGGGGACCCCAGCCAGGCAAACGTGGAACTCTGGACTGGGGTGGCCCTTCAGAGTGGTCTCGAAATGAGGCTGGGGCTCTGCACACCCCGGCATCCACCAGGGGTTGCATGAGAACCACTCCTGGGGCGGGGGCGGTTCCAGACAAATATCCTTGAGTTTGTGGCACGTGTATTCTAGCAGAAGACAGACCATGAGTCGAAGTCAAACAATTGCAATCAATTATATAGCACGTGAGGATAAAAGATGCTACGGGAAAAAAACGAGGTGAATGGGGGTGAAGCGATCGCGAGGCCGGGTAATCTTGGTCAGATGGCTCCATAGCTGGGGGGTGCGGCTCTCAAACTTAAGGAAACATCAGAATCACAGTTACTTCCATAAACTCGTGTTCATGGACGCACTATTCATAATAGCCGAAAGGTGAAAACCACCTGTGTCTGCAGTGAACGGACAGATGAAGAAAATGTGGTCCATCCATACAGCTGAGTATTATTCGGCCTTAAATAGGGAGGAAATTCTGACACACAGCTCAGCATGGATGAACTTCGAGGACATGACACGGGGTGAAATGTCCACTCATAGAAGGATCAGTACTGCATGATCCACTTATACGGGGCACTTGGTCAAATTCAGAGACAGAAAGTAGGACGGTGGTTGCCAGGGGCTGGGGGAAGGGTAACGAACAGTCAGTGTTTGATGGGGACCGAGTTTCAGTTCTGCAAGATGAAAGAGGTCCTGGAGATTAATGGTGATGACAGCTGTACAACAGTGTGGTGGACCTTATACCACTGAACTCTATAATTAAAAATAGTTATGATAAGTTTGTGTACATTCTACTATAATTTTAAAAATAATAATGTTTTAAAACACAGACAGCTGCCCTTGCCCTGAGCTTCTGACGCAGTGGGTCTGAGACGGACCCTAGGAATCTGCATTTCCTAACAACCTTCCAGACGATGCTGACATTGCTGGTCTCAGGGACCAAATCTGAGGACCACTGATGTGGGGCAGTCCCCAGGGAGAGAGTCATATTAACACTCCTGGAAGCTAGGGGGGTAACTGTCTCAGTCTGGAAGGGAGTGACCGGGAAGGGTGTGTCCGTGACCGAGGCAGATCTAGGAAACAGAAGAAGAGGTGGAGATTCTGGGCAGCGACATCCTGCCATCCTGGTCCCAAGGACAGGGGGATGGGAGATACAGGAGGCTGGAGAAAGATGCCCTTTGCCCACCAGCCCCCTTCTCTCACAGGAATGTATGACACGCCCACCCTCTCAGTCCAGCCCAGGCCTGAGGTGGCCTCGGGAGAGAACGTGACCTTCTACTGCCATCTGGCAACAGCGACAAACACGTTCTTTCTGCTCAAGGAGGGAACACCCAGGCGCCCACAGAGCAGATACGGGAATATCCGGGCTGAGTTCCCTGTGGGCCCGGTGAGCGCAGCCCACAGAGGGACGTACAGATGTTTTGGCTCCTATAATAACTACGCGTGGTCCTTCCCCAGTGAGCCTGTGGAGCTCCTGGTCAGAGGTGAGGAATCCCCCCCCACGTCCTTTCTGGATCCCTAAGCGAACCCCAAACAGTGACGAGGAAGGCAGTGAGGGTGCAGGTGGGGAGATGCAGAGAAGGGACCTCTCACCAACGCCCTTGTCCACATCAGTTTCCCCGAAGCCCAGCTGACAGCTCACGAGGAGACCAGAGAGATGGCAGGAGGGAGGCGGGCGCGCAGTGTGTAGAGGCTAGGCGGCAAGACCAGAGGAAGCCCAAGCCCCTTGACTCTTTTCCCCTTGTCTCCATTGCCAGGCGATGTCGGGGATACCAGCGCTGCACGCACAGAGCACACGTCTTCTCCTGGTGAGTCACAGCTCCTTCTAAACTTGGGGACGGAATCAAAGCCGCCCACTGACACGAGACACCGTGGTTTTCATGCCAAGTGTCCCGAGTGCCGAGCGTGTGCTGCGAGCTTCAGTCTGTCTGTCAGCCAGACAAATGCCCTTGCTCGTGTGGCCCTTGTGTTCTAGCAGAGGACAGACCGCGGGTCAGCGCCAGGAGACACCCGCCGCCAGAGCAGCACACGGGAGGG